AAAAAAAAATCTTATTAGTGGAAACATTAAGAAGTTCTTTTTCGTCTTTTTCATTAACTAGTTGTTCTTTTTAATTTTTTATTTTGTCCTCGTGGAAAGAGAAAATAAGATATTCTCTCGAGGCACGACATTTTTATTGATATTTACATTGTGCTAATGGAATTAATTTTTCTGGAAATAGCTTTTATATTGATTAATAGTAAAACGAAAGTAGATATGTGTTAAATTATATATAAACTTATCTGAATGAATATTTTCAATTGTGAATATTATTAGCCAATCATCTTATTTGTAATTACAGAAGCATTTAGATAACAATCTATGTTAATTGAATTGCAAATATACATTTGTTTATTAATATTGTTTATCTTGAAAATGAAAAAATTTCGTAAGATTTGAATTTCTTTTTGTTGAAATGATTAATTTGAGTAATTTTGTAATTTTAATCAGATTATAGAAAAATGGGTGAAAAAATAATGATATCAATTTGTGTATATTTTTATTTTATCTTCACATAATATACGATTTTATTTGTGAAAATAAGAGATATATCTTGTTAAGCCTCTTATAAAGTAAAGAGGCCTTCAAAAATTGCATCTCACGTGATAACACGAGGATGCGGATTTAAATTAATAATGGGCTTCAGCAACAGTACTCTCACTAAACGATCATTGAATACTTTGCTCCCCAAAGACAAGGATAGAACATACTCTTTACAACGATCTTATATCACGTTAACTGATAACTGTAATTGCGAGAATAATCTGCCATCTAGCGGCCTTTTTAGGAAGCTTTGAAAGTAGTAGTATGATCTAAAATATACGTAATTAAATATACAAACATAAACACATTTTTTTTTTCATTTTTGTTTTAAATTGTATGTTAATAATACAATAATTAAAATTTATTCTTATAAAAATATTAATTTAACAATATAAATATACATTATTTATCATTTTTTTCTATATATATATATTTTCTATTTTTTATAATCGTATAATAAAATTATTATCAATTAATTTTTTACTACTTTATTTAGTTACCTACATAAAAGTAAGATTAATTGAATTCTATAAAAAAAAAAAAAAATTGTACAACGTAGTTTATTACAAGGTGGAAATAATTCCTTGAACACACTGTGATAGAAGTAGATAATACATTCTTAGAACGAGATTTATGAAATATTATTATCCTTGATATTATTTTTTGTTCTTTTTTTTAATTCCTTACTTTTTCCTTGTTTTTTTCTTATCTTTCTTCTTTGTTTTTCAATTGTATAATAATTCACAATTATATTATATTTATATTTAAGAAAGATATAATTTTTGCACTATATATATACTTTTCACAAATAATATTTTGTATTATTATAGAAATATAATTTAAATATATTCTCAACATTTCTTATGTTAATATAATAATTTAAATGTATACTGAAGTATTTTATTTTATTATTCTCTAATTATTTTTATTGAAATTTCAAATATTATTATTCATTATTATATGTTCAAATATATTCTTTTAATATTTTTCAACGTTTATTGTGTTCTAATATATGTGTTCTAATTATTAATTATAAATGTAATTATTTTACGAAAAATATTATACACATACATATATCTATATTATTAATTGGCTACATAGATAATAGATTTCATCTAATTGTAAATAAAATATTCGTAATTGGAGAAAATGCACAGAATATCTAAACGAACAAGTTATGCCACAAATCACTGACAATGACCTAAAAACCACAGATGAATAAATTTTGGCCTTAGTATTATGTTCTTTATAACCTCGAGCTACAAAGTTTTCAATAAATATACATATAATTGAATGCCTTCAGCATTGATGTTCAATTTCTTTTTTTTAGATATTTGATATATCAGTAATATGTAATAATGCTATTAGAGCATTAAAATTAGTCATTTTTAAAAAGAATATGAGAAAAAATTTATTATATTAAAAATAATAAAATAAAAAAATTTTGTGGAATAAATTATTTATTAGTAAATTATTAATTATTAGGAGGAAATTGATTAAATTTTATAGATTTTTTATCTGTATTTAAATTTTATCTTTTATCATACAAAAATAAGTAGTACCAAATGTATTTCAATTTTTCAACACGCGAGGAAGATAAAAATGCAACAGAATGAGTGTAAGATTAAAATTTCATTTTCTTCATTAACATCGTTTACCAGATTTTTAAATTTATATAAATCTAAAATTTATATAATCATTTAGTACATAAATTAAACAATCGTTTAACAGAGAAAAGAAACTAGAATAGAAAGAAAATGTATAATTAACTTAAAAGAAGATTATCTTATCTTATCTTATCTGGTAACAGACACATTGTCTTTATATTTTATCTTAATAAAATTACGATAATATTATGAAATTGCAATTTTACTAAATATTTTACTCCAACTCCAACAAAAAGATAAATTTTTCTTTTCTATTCGTTCAATTTTTTTCTACTTTTGAAGAACTTCGACACGAAATTAAAAATTTTTCACAGATTGTCAACAGTTGTTATCTTATCTGTACGTAACGTCTAAAGCCAAAGAAGACTCCTATCTATTTTGTTACATTGTACGGTTATGTATGTTTAAATGCAGCTGTTAGGTGTCAAACGGAGGAATTATTTTAATATACGATCGACGTATGAAAAATGATAAGCTTGAACGACGTTGCAGAACTTTCATGTAAAAATTCATTTTATTTAAAATCTGCAAAAAATATTTTACTTTATATTTAAGAGTAAAAAACAAATAAACATATCCTGCATCGATAAATTAATAATAGCACGTTTAATCAAATAATTTTTTTGAAGAGAATTAATTTTAACGTAGAATGAATTTTCTTTTAGAAAATTTTTCAGATTAATCGATTAATAAAAAGAAAAAGAAAATGACACAAATTTGACAGTGTAGAAAACACGTACACGATCGATATACGCAAACAAGTCGACGATAATTTATTGCAAAGCTCGTCGTTCTTTTCTTTCTGTCCCATACCGTACTTTATTCCAAGTATTACTTTTTATTTGTTCAAATGTCGGCACGAAGTCGTGTGATTTGTCGACGAACGAAATTATCCGCGTGACTTCGATTATGTTAAAACTCGTTCGCCAAGTGGCCATAATCTTCAATAACATCCGTTAACATCTCTTCTTCCTGCGTTTACGATTCTTCGTCAATTTGCAACTCCATTGTGCATCGTTTCTCGTTTCTCTTGTGCGGTTACAAATATACACGACTCAAAATTTCAGAATTTATCATGGTAAAATTTCGATTCGAAGCAAAATTTTCTTTCAACGATGATGATTTTAATTTGAGATTTTTCATGAGCCATTTGGTTTGTGAATCGCATATTTGCTTGAATATCATATCTGAAGCAAAACCTTAGATTAGAAGATTTATATTTTTTATTAGAAGTCAGAATTAAAATTAATTGAGTAAAAAAAAGAAATAATAATAATTCTGATATAAATATGATCCTCTTTTATTTTACTTAATTCATAATATTAAACAAAACAGACTTTTGCAATTTCACTCGATTGTATAACTAATTTTGATGTGTAAAATATATATTTTCACATTAGAAATTAATTCAATAAAAATATTTTAACTACTATTAAATATTATACTAGATATTAGATTCGTTCAAAGAAAATAATTTTTGAACCAATTATGGTGAAATTTCAAATAACTAAGCTTTAGAAATAATTCAAAAGATAGATTTTTTTTGGCGAAAGTTCTTTTATTTGTCATTTTTACTTCGGTTTATATAACGTGAATCACGTTACAAATCAAATGAATTTATTGCTTTGTACAATTTTTTTTTTTTTAATCGTGTTAATCCTTTTATCGTAATCTGATTTGATACGATTGTATACCTCAATGTATATTATCTAGAAAAATTAATAAAACAAATATATATATTAATTTACAATTAATTATCTTCTATTCTGTTCTATTCTGTTCTATTCATTTAGAATAATATGATTTTTAAAATTTCGATGAATTTCTTTTATGAAAGAAGAGCATGACAATAAAATTAATACTTATATAATAATTAATATTTAACGAAATATTAATGTAATTTTGCCAAATGTTATCTATTATTCATTATAAAATATTCGAAGAATTTCAAACAAACCTATAAAACAAGAATGGAAAAGAAGAAAAAAAAATTTAAATATATCTTAATCTCTCGTTTTACGAAACAATATTTTTCGAGTTTACGTGATCGTTTTCAGTTACACGAATAACAACTCCGAAACGTATCCACGCGTAATTTACCAAAACTTTTTCGTTCCTCTTTTCACCAAACTTCGCAACGAATATCAGACTGAGATTGATTTTCAAGCGAGCAAGTGATCATCACGTTTCCTGCAAAATTGTAACATTTTTGCTGATGAATCGAAACAGACAAACTCTATTATACATATTCGATACGATATTCCAAAAAAATATTTATAATCTATAAACTATAGTTGTTAATATACAAATAATTTCGATGATTTAATAAAATGAAATGGAACATGACCAAGGAACATTTTATTAGAAATATATGATGATTCATTGAAAGCATAATCGCATAAACGTAGAAAATCAATTCATTTATTATAAATTTTGAATTAGATAACATTATATACAACAAATCCAACATTTATAACAACTTATATAATCAAATTATTCGCATTAATTTTTGTGATTCCTTTTCTCTGAGAGCCACTCATTATACATCAACTTACTTACGTTGATCTATCGTTTGATCTAAACGTATCACAACTACTATTTTTCCTATATATATATATATATATATACACCTAGTATACCTGACACGGCGAATTGATTTGAATAAATGTATCTTTACGGTGTACGATTATGTACAATGAACAACTCATCACGAGGCCTGCTCCTTTGTCGTGCCACCCCACCACACACGAAATACACGGAGGTGGGACGTTGTGTCGAGTGTTGAATTAGATTCAGTAAAGTAAGTCGATGAGTGCGCGCTGGTCGGTCCGGTTATTGTGCAGAATCGTGTTGGATCGCTGTTTTGTTATGTAATTCTCTCCCTCTTTCCCTTCCAATTTTATTTTTCCGCTCCCATCCTCCCTTTCGAAAAACCCTCTCACTATTCTCTCACAGAGATCGCCATCGTCGATCGTCGAAATTCGATCGATCGAAATCTCTTGTGTTTTCCTTTTCTCTTTTTTTTCTCCCTCTCTCTCTCTCTCTTCTTCTACTCTTCCTTTTCTTTTTCTTTTCTTTTCTTCTCTTTTCTTTTTTGAATACATCTGCTGCACCATCAGGGTGAGTCAATATATACCTAACAAGCTTTTTACTCGAGGAAAATTGAATATCTCGTTCTTTTATGAGCGTGTTAAACGCGCAATGTTAATCTTTTTTTTTTTTTTTTTTTCGTTTTTACGAAAATTATAGATAGATATCGTTAAAGGAATTCCAAGATCGTTAAGAATCGTTAGAGAAAGTTGCCAAGAATCGTTGGAATAAAACGTCTCAATGACATAGAAGCTGAAACTTTTATATTAATCCTCTTTTACACGTTGTCTCTTGACAAAGGAACGAAAAATATCTTGGTCTCGATAAAATATCTTTCTGCCTGTGATGCAACGTGATCGTTATCCATTGATAATCCACGAGCAGCGTGTTAATAGAGGTACACGGTCCTTTTCAATAAGTTAATTTCACTCGTACACTTAGCCAGACACTTGCTCTCTCTCTCTCTTTCTCTCAACCACGTGACAGTTGTTGGTTAAATAACATTTACATTCTGTAAGATTGCGAACGTTGATTCAAAGAAGAAAGAAGCTTTGTCCCAGTTGTGATACAGCAGCAGGTATTTAATGATGGAATATTTTGGCGCGTGTTCTACGAGCGTTTAATTAGTAATCTCGGATAGAGAAACTCGTGCATCCGTTTTTCCACGTTCTCGTTTACGTAATACGTGAACATCATAGCAAGCATTTGTGCGATTTATAATTGTGTGCAACAGTGAATATCAATATCGTTTTCGAAAAATTTGTTTCAGCAATTGGTTTTCAATATAATTTCAACGCGCGTTCAAGAAGCTAGCTGTTCGTTTTGAATCCAGTTATTATTCACCGTGTTCAATTTCATCATGTTCACCATTTTCACGCGTTTCATCGGATGTTATTAATACATATCGTAAGATTAAGATAAGTTTTCATGAGAAAAAAAGATGATCGAGAACGATTAAAGAACGATTAGGATTTATGACGTTTCATATTTCGTACAATTTCTTATATTTCTTCGCGCTTGCGTTACGATTCATGATACTTTTTTGTTTGTTTGTTACGCATAATCTTTTATTATTATTTTACCAGTATCTTTCTTTGTTCTTATTCCATTTGATAAAGAGGAATATTTTTAAGAATTATTTCTTCGTCGTAATGTCGTAAGATTATTCCCTTTTACAATTTTATTACAACTTAAATTAGAAAATTGTAAAAATTTATTTATCGAATAAATTTCTTTTTCACGGTATAAATGTATTAAAAAAATATTTGTACATCATTGAATTAGTAGATTATTATTTATATATATTCGATTAAAAATTCAAGAATATTATTGTTCTTCAATCTTAATCAATCTTAATTATATTCGTGGTCATTCGGTAGTAATATAAAAATACGATCGCAAATTCGATGTTACACTTAGCAATTATTACACAGGCCAGAAGTGAATGAACGAAACGAAAACTAAGGAAATCTAACAAGGTGTTAAAAAATTTCGGAATTAAGTAGGATCGTTAGGGCGGCGTTCACGAGGAATTCAAGCCTCGGTGCTTTCCCACAGTTTATATAGGAAATGTACGCTCGTTCTGCTAATTGACGGTCAAACACGTTTTAGCACGCAATCGCCGTGTTTTAAACCCAGCTTTCGACGTTCTGTCCACGATGTTGGCCGTATCACGGTTGCATTGGAGGAACGTGTAACGTCAATTTTTAAAAACATCAAAAAAACCCGTATCAAATTACCTCTGCACTGTGCATTAAATCGTTTAATTTAAATTCTAAATCGTGGTCGTTATGGAAAGAACGATGACGAGTTCGAAAAATATTCAATATTCAGAAGGAATATGAATTTCATTTGAACGTTGATAAAATTGAAAGATATTTAATATTGGATAATGGAAAAACGAGACGATTATCGCTCTTAACATCATAATTAAAATATTAAATTACGATGTTGAGAAAATAAATAAAATCAAAGTAAAGTTTATAACGTCGTTATTTTCTTTTCTTTTTCTTTTTCCCTTTTCACGCACGATAATATACATCTTTTTCATTTCTTCCTCCCGAGCGTTTGTTTTTTCATTTTTTGTTCAAAGAAATTATCAAATCGATGGCCGTATCGATGATAATGACGATGATGATCGCTATTGAATTACAAATATTTTGTAATAAGATAGTCATAACTCGGTCGCGATTACTTGACCATGGATTGGTGATTATTCGATGAAAGATAATCAGGCCTTGAGATAATAATTATTTAGAATACATAATCGAGATATATTTTTTCCATTTCAATCTTATTGCTTATTTCACACAACAGATTAAAATTTTCTCCAAAAAACTATTCCTCTATTCACAATTTGAAAAACGGACAATTAAATCGAAGGTTTTAGTTATTTCGACGATGACGATTCGTATTATTGCGTTTGCAAGTATTTGCACTCGAAGCCGCAAACTTAAGTACCTTATACTTTGTGTGCTCGTGGATTGTACGCGCTTATCTGAAAAAAGAATAGTCATTGTAATCGTTCCGTTTTCATTTTCCCTTCTTATCTTTTTTTTCTTTTTTTTCTCTCATTCCACCGTTCTTCTTTTTCCTCTTATTATCAAGTATATTGCGAGCTACTGTGTTGCGAAAATTCGAACGAAAGTCGGGTGTTTTTCCTATTATCACGAGCAAATACCGATACGATCCAGATTATTCGTAACAATTACTCGGATACGTAGTAGATACGTATTTTATCATGTACGATCAATTAACACCAGACAATTTGCTCTGTCAATTTATTGGAGATACACGCACTGATACGCGTATCATCGAGAATTTTTCTTTTTCCAAAGTAACCGTTCCGGTTACTTTGGAATTAGATCTTGATTTAAATTTCGCGCCAAAATTGTCTCTCCTAAATCTACCCTCCCATTTGTTTAACAGCAATCGTTTCTATTTTGTTTTTATTATTATCGTTATTCTTTGATATCGGGGAAATCGAAGCACCTTGTATCCAAAGTATCCTTCTATAAAATTAAAAATTATTTATTATCTTCTCTTTAAAAAAAATCTTCAAATCTAGCTATATTCTTATTTGAATCGTAATATATTTTTCTTAATTTATATTCCAAGATTGTGTTCAAAGATAAAATAAGGAAAATAAAAATATTCAGAATAATTTTATCTTGTCAAGGAAATTTACAACGTACACTGCAACTTTGACACTGTTTCCGCTGTTAGAAATCTCTCGTTATTTTAAGGGTTAATTAAATTCGAAGTTATTATACTAGATTCGTGTTAATTTAATTTAATATACGTATTTGAGCAAAATGATAAAGGGAATTATGCTAGGAATCTAAATTTCTAGACTGTATATAATTTAAGATCGCGTAAATCGATGCGACATTTGTATGTACTTAAGAAACGTTTTTACTTATCTTCAAACTTAACTTCTATCTCGGTTCCTTTATACGAAACGGTAAAGAATTCCTCGATAAGATTGCATTACCTGGCTGATTGCATACACCTATATATAGTGTACGCCGCCACAAATTTTCTGTTCCACCGAGCTACGTCTTACTATCGTACGACTTAATTATCTCCATTATCAGTTTTTCGAAAGTCAAGTTTTATCTCGAAAAAAATTATCACGAATTATCTATGGAAACCAGTATGGGGATATAAATGGGCCAAATTGTATCTTTGATATTAAAACTAGCTGACTATATAACTGATATGTCTATATGTATGAAAATACAGTATTATAAAAATAATTTTGTCGATTTAATTTTGAGAGTTTTGAAGGAAATGTTATGGGATAATATTATTAACCCAACTTAATGATTAATAATGATAATGAATTTAATATCATACAAGCTATCTAACTTCGTTCGTACATTGATTGAATTATTAATTGTGTATCAAAGAATATTAAAAAATGGAAGTAGTAAATGTTATTATTGTATTTTCACTATGTATAGAGAGAGTGAAGTTAAATGATCGAGTATATTCTATTAAAAAATATAGCTCGAACGAAACAGTTCACGTGTCTTCTATTTATGTATTTCAAGATACGCGAAATTGACGTCATATTACCGGCAGAGTGGTACGTCACATCAAAAAATCAACGTCACTACTTTGAATGTTGCTTTAAAATTATTAGATTGAACGTCATTGATTGTTAACGTTTGCCAAGATTAATTTGATGCATCGGCAGATGTCGTAGACGTCTTTTTACGCTAAGATATCCATTTATTATGCCATATTGAAGAATGGAGAAAACATGTTTCTCAATGTAATCTTAATTTAATTTCCTATTAGTTTGATGCAAAGATAGATATGTAATTAAAATTTTAGATAAAATTTCGATCTAATAATTCACGATTAATACTGGTTCCTTCATTTTAAATTCTCAAATCTTCTCAAAGAGTCAATATGTATTTAGTGTAATATATACATTTATGATATGGATTTCTTGTCAATGATCGTTAAATTTCTCTGTTCATAAAATACAAAGTATCTTATAAAGTGAATATGAAAGTGTTACACGATATCATTATTATTATCGTTCCGTGATAAGATCACGTTTCGTTGCAACGTTTCATTGTGGAACGTTTCATCGTTTCATCTAATAATATTTATAATAAAAACTCGATTATCATTAATACAACATATTAAATTTTACGACTTATCTCGCATCAATTGAAACAATATTCTTATACGCTTTTAAATTTTGCAGAATTAACAAATATTCGATTAGCATCGGCTATATGAATAAGTTTGATGCGTATAATGAAATTGTTGATGTTATGTGAATGGAATTCTTTTCATGGAAAATTGTTACAAGTGTTTCGACAGGAATTTAAATTAGATATGTATATTATATACATATATATATATATATATATATCTAAACAATCTTGTTACAATGTATTAAATTTCGTTAAATTTTCAAATCTTTAAGGGATATGAGACTTGTTAGCATAGATATAGTATAACAATTTGTTGTTCAAAAAAAAAAAAAATAATAAAAAGTAGGTTCTTTTTAAAAAATAGTTCTTTATATAACACGGTATAATAGAAAATATGCAAAAATAACTTTGAAGGTAAAATTCTTATAGTATAAGCTGTTAGATAATTTCCTATATAATGAAAAATAAGGTATTGAAATAAATTTTATTACGGACTTCTTTTTCGAAGATATTTTTGATTGCAACAAAAATTTGCTTGTTTTACTTCGATCAATTTAATCGATGCAAAAAGATTTTTCACTTATTTATATTTATATTAACAAAATATCTTTTAAACTATTTTTTTTTTTTTACATGACAGATAGATATCTAGTAATCAATCATATTTTATGATAATTCAAAATAGATTCAATCAGATTGATTGATAGAAATTATATCAATAGATTATCAAAGTTCCATCCATATTTATAAATTATCAAGAAATTAATTAAAAAATTTTTTTACAACTCGATACCAATATTTATTAGTTTTGATAAGATTTAAGATTTGGAGTAGAAGTTGTAATCGTAACGAGAAATCTCGCAGAAATTATCTAACGCAGAATCAAGGAGTACACCTGTGTTTGATAATAATTTAACGAGATTAACCATGAGAACGTAGTTATAATAGATTTGGATTATGCGAGGAAGATTATGATCGCCTTGAACTTTATACTTATTCCTTTTTCATTCCAAATTCTTACGTAAGCTCATAGTTGGAGGATTTGAATTTATTATTTTAAAGAATCTTTTTCGTTGATCGTTATTAAAACGTACGTTATCGGTGGAAATTCTTCTCTTTTCGTCGATGCTCATATCTGTCACGTAGTTGTACTTTGAAATTATTGTTCTGAAAGATGTTGTCAATAACTCTTACGTAAACAATCTTGATTGTGGATAATCAAGGAATTTTATCACGTGAATAGTAAATTGATAAAAAGGATTAAAAACGTAAAAGTGGGAAAAAAAGTAAACAAGAAAGAATGGAAGAATAGAAGAGGCAATGTGTATAGTTGGGATATCTGTGTGAAGAGAGAATATGTATGAATATAAGT